ATTAAAATGTTTTAAAGTCAAAAATTCTAAATTATACCATCGTTCATTTAATCATTACATGCTTTTGCAAGCAAATTTGTCATCCTATCTATTCTATCAATCAAATTGTTTCAAATTGTTTCTTTAAAAAAAAAAAAAAAGCAAAAAGAAAAAAAGGATGATTATGAAACTTGGTGACAGTTTAACATTTTCTTCAAAACATTACAAAAATGAAGATAGAAAATTCCATGTCACTTATCATAATCAATTGATTTTTTTATTGAATTTGAGATATTATCAGGTAATGAATGAAATGTTATTAGTCTGAAAAGTAATTTATACTAATTATAACGATAATTTAAAACTGAAAATACGCCATTATCTTATTAAGTTATCAATGAACACGTAATAAATACTTTAATTACTTACTTCGTTCAATCTTTTCCGACTAGAAAAATAGCAATTATTTTAACTTTGCAAATCAATTATTACTATTATTGCTAGTAACTAAAAGTAATAAGCTATTTTTGATTAGCTTAAAAAAGGAAGGAAAAAACTTCAAATAATCACCATAAAATGGTATTAATACATTGTCATATTTATAGTAAAAATGGATAGCTAAGAAATTTACACAGCTGTCTGTATTTCATTCGTAAAAGAGCCAATAGATTTCGATCAAAATAAAAAAAAAAAAGAGGAAATTTGGAAATTCGAAATTTAATTTCAAATTTTTCAACAAAAACGAAGAAAAAAACAATATCAAATAATATATGGTATAAAAAAATTTAAAAAAATAAGAAAGAAAACAAGCATTATCTTTAACCATCCTATATTTTCTAGTGGTGCATATTTCTTATTGTAGTGATGATACAAAAGTATCTCCGATCATTACTGATACCCCTCTGCACTTTTTCTATCATATCATTTAAATAATTTAATATAATTATCGATATTTATCACATCTAACATTAGATAGTTAAATTGATTCATAAATACAAACATTTATATAAACCATAACAATATCTATTATGGAAACGTAAATAATTAATGGAATATAACAGCTTATCTGAATCCATAAACTGCATTAAAATAAATTCGAATTTCCATTATTTGGAATAGATAATTCCGGAAATACGATTTAGATATAATTGGCAATGTAATTTCTTTTGCATTCGTGCTATTTAATTTGTTTGATAAAATACATTGTTCAAAATTTTATATTAGGATTATTGAAAAGAAAAGATGAAGCATGCGGAGAAGCAGGAGGGGGGGGGGAAAAAAAAAAGATGAGAAATAGAAAACTTGCATGATGATTGATGCTGATAAATTTTTGAATAGAAATTAAGCATAACCTTTCTCTTTTTATTACAATCATATATTTGATTGTTTTTGTAACTTCGACAATTTCAAGTGCAAATTTGTTCTTGTGTAATTAAAATTAATGAATTTTGACAAGTTGAAGGGCAAAAAAAAAAGAAGATCAATGATCGATAAGAATATGTTTGTGGCAAAAATTATATTTAGCAAAAAGAAAAAAAAAAATTTCTAATAATTCATAAGTAAATTTAACACAATTAGATTGAAAATTTGATAATTTTTACCGCAAAAAATGTTTTTGGAAAATTGTCATAAAAATTTCTTTTGCAATAATGCTGTTTAATTTGTTTGATAAAATTTATTATTCGAAATTTTTATGTCCTCATTGGAAAGAAGAGAAGAGAGGGAGAGGGAGAGGGGAGGGGGAAAAAAAAAGACCAGTAAATATGTAGAATGAATGGTATATGGGAGTTTCTTTTTTTTATCATCAAATTATTTAGGAAAAAAACTAATAGTTTTAATTAGGAATAAATTTTCAATTTTTGTTTTTCATCTTTGATGATAATTCAGCATAGAATTTAAGAAAAAGCGAGGAAAAAATTTTTTTTCTAAAATTCCATCAATGAAGAAAGTTAATTTAGCGTTTTTTTTTTCCTGAAATTTTTATAATTTATAATTGCACACTTTATATAATCCATTTTTTCCTAATCTTTACACTCAATTATTGTCTGGATAGGTATGTTGCTAAGGATAATTATAAAATCGCTTACATTTGAAAGGGTCCGGAATAAAGGCCGGAACTAATAGATAGTGACCTAAAAAAATTTCCCGACTAATTGCTTATTATAAATGCAAAAATGATTGAGAAGGAGGGAGAGAGAGAGAGAGAAGGGAAAAAATAAAGCAAAGATTGTTCTTTATGGGCAAAGAAAATGAAAGAAAATGCGGCAAATATACGGCAAATGTGACAAATATGAATAGTAATAGTAACCATAATCATGATAATGATAATAATAATAATAGCAATAATAATAATAATAATAATAATAATAATGATAATAATAATGATAGTAATAATGATAGTAATAATGATTAATAATAATAATATAATAATAATAATAATAATAATAATAATAATAATAATAATAATATAATAATAATAATAATAATAATAATAATAATAATAATAATAATAATAATAATAATAATAATAATAATAATAACAATAATAATAATAATAATAATAATAGTAATAATAATAATAATAATAATAATAATAATAATAACAAAGAATACCTCAATGACATAAAACTTAGCAACTGAACAATAGCTAAGGAATTTTCACCAACAAAATTTTCACTAACCTGTACGACAAGTTTCAAGCGCTCTCTGTATAAGTTCCTCGCATCAGCACTTTGTCCTACGACAGATGCTTGACCATCTACTACGACCAACACTTTACGTTGTTCATCATACCGCAAACGTGGAACGGTGAACAAATCAATTACATGGATTAATGATTCCCTCCAATAGAAATTAGTTTTATTCAACGAATTCGTGAGAACAAGGTTCACTAAGATCTGTGTCAGATTATGTCATTATTTGAAATTACGAATTTCTACTTTCTACAGGGAAATGCCTTCAAATAATTATTTGCTAACTCGCTAATTTCAACAAATTATACTTTTGATAATGGCTTCAAATAAAGAATTTCTACAGGGAAATTTCCTTCAAATAATTATTTGCTAACTCGCTAATTTCAACAAATTATACTTTTGATAATGGCTCACCTCAACTGCTTTGCCCGTCCCTATGAATACGGAAAACTTCGTTTTGTCTTGTAAAATACATTACTCACTCACTTACTGCTTAAACCAAAAACTTAAATCATGTTCATTTTATCGTTAGGCAGTAGCCGATACCGCTAGTGGCTTCATTTTAGTAAATGCTTAAATTTATCCCTGTGATTTTGTGTGAAAGATCAATTTTAAGAAAACTAACTGTTTTGAAGAATGATTGCTGACACATTCGGTAACAGCCGACCTGAATTCATTAAACGAAAGGACTGGCCCACTAGCTGAAATACATGAATGTTGAAGGATCTCCCTGTCTATTCTTCAAATCGACATTTGCATGATTATAAGTCCTATTTAACGTAATCGCAAATAACTTTGAAAATGCCCGGAAATCTTCAAAAGCAACAACAACGGACTACAACACCATTTCATAACGAATCAAAATGTCGGAAAGCAATTTCCTTCAATAATGAGCTTGAAATTGGACAGAATGACAGGTCAATACAACCGCACATCAGTTTAAAGGAATGTAAAAGTTGATCAGTGTGTTATGGCCACTGAAACATACCCTTCTGTTTCGATAACATACTAATGACTTTATTAATCCACCGAATTCGCTCTTCACCTTCCAATTTTATCAGAATTTCGACAGCATATTCCATAGCCTCCCTGCAAACAGACACAGTAAATAATTTGAATCTCTTCATACCTTAAGTATTAGAAGGAAAACCTACAGAAATCACGTAAAACTAACAACAGATGAAACGCGAACTTCCAGTAAGACAACTTCGAGATATAACAAGAAATCACAAAGTAAGATGTTCAGAAAAACTCCTACAGAAAAACTTACTTGCTCACTGTGAGTGCTCGCATCTGAAATGCTTTGCGAACTTGTTTCCTCAATTTTTCCACATCCGAATCAGTCGGCATGAGTAAATAATGGAATAAGTCTTATTTTCAGGAATGCATAAGTTCAGATGGATGAGCTTGGTTCTGCAATACTGTTTATCACAACTAATAGATATCATTGGTGCTAATGGGAAGTGGATGAAAGTTCAGGAAACAAAAAATGAAAAGGATGATAACGCTGATACGCATCAGCATCTCATGGAATTAAAAAAACAGTTTACTAATAAACAGAAACAGCAAATAGTCACAGTTAAGCTTTATGCAAAGACACTAATTCTTTTATCGCACGCCGTCGTATTCAACTATGTTTTTAACAGTACTAATTACTTTCTTTATTGTTCAGATTGTTTCGTATTACTGACAATATTCCCACTTCTTATGATTTTTCTTTTTTTTTTCTTGTTTTAATATATTTTAACTATTGCCACTTTCTGGAAGTTTCAAATATTACGCATACATTTTTAAGGATGAATACAGTTTTTGCTGAAAAACTGAAACTCCATGACCTTTCAACTTGATACATCCGTAATTTATCAGTTTATGAACAAAACTATGAACATAAAAGTAAAAAAGAAATACTGAACCAGTGAAATGGAACAACAGTTTGGAAAATCAAGCATGATTTTTTGTTTCATTCAACCAGAAATAAAATTAGAGAAGTGGAGGACTGAACAATCGCTACTATTCCTCCCAAATAATTTCAGCAGATCTGTTGTTCTGCCAGATCTGGTTAGAATATTTAAAGCATAACAAAGGTATTATCACTTCCCATAAATAACTGAACAGGAATAAAACTATTATCGCATCTCGCGACGCGGTCCAGTCGGCATCATGAACGGTGGCCTCATCATCATTGGCGGTCCCATCGGAGCACCCATTGGTGGATAAGGAAATGGCACTGGACCTCGAACCGCTGGACCGCCAACTGGTGCCATGATCGGTGGTCTGGGTCCACCTACTGTCTATAAATTTAATGAGTGAGAATTTCAAGTAGAAATTAAAACTGGAACTGGAAAATTTCAAAACATAAGAATTATTTTCCATGTGGAGTTTTAAATCACTAAAATATACGATGAACACCAAAATCAAGTCATTAAAAAAAACCCAACGAGAACATGTTCCTTCACATCTTATGCTACAGGAACTGTTGACAACCTATGATGAAGTATTCTGTTTTCTGAATGTCCAGACAAAGTATTTATCTGGATCAGTGGTCTTAGTCCACCACCGCTCAAACTAAAGTATTTCTAAAAAATCCAACAAGAACATAACCACAAAGTATTCATTCTAGATATATCCAGAAAGCAAAACACGTCATTTAAGATTGCCAACACTTCGGATATGTAGTATAAGAAGTAAAAGAATGTTTTAGGCAAATCAAGCAAAGCAGAAATCTACCTGAGCTAATCTAAGCACATGACTAATCTAAAGAATATAAAAATGAATAGAAACCATGACCTACGTCAATCTGTTCTCTAAACAATCAACAAGGCTAAAAAAACTAGCTATAGAAAATGAATTCACGTCAGTATCTTTTGCGTAAGTGGTCCACTTTACAAGGGATAAAGTCTTGAAACTATCGTCAGGCAACTTCAAAGAAAACGTACCATGGGCATTCGAGGGGCAGCTCCTTGACTACTACCCATACGTCCTTGCGTAAATGCTCGCGCAGTAGCATCCACTAATTTTTGCGCCTGCTCTTCCATCCACTTTTGATAGAACATTCGCACGTTTTCCTGAAATAAACATTTTGAACTACTTAGCTACTAAAAAAAAGAAAAGAATTTTTTGTTCGACTTCCTCCCACTCTGATTCTTCAGTCTGTAGAGACAAACAACTTCTGCTGGACTCCTAAATACCTCCCTAATTATGTTTTGTTTCAGAAGTGGACTGCAAAAAAATAATAAGTAGCACAGTATGTAAAGCATAGTTCGTTTGACATTCATGAAAGAATTCCTCGATGAATAACGAAGATAAACATTACAGCAGCACTAGAGAGTAAAGAATGGCAAACAAATACTCGTTTAGAATTCAAAGGTTCGTACAATACTATGCATAAACACCCTGAAATTCTGGTATGCAAAATCGCATAATATGTAGTGATTATCAGCCTTCCTTTCTTAAAAAAGGTCTAAAACAATCTTTAATATTAACATCAAAACCCTTTTTGTTCATAACTAACCTTATGCTTTCGGCCACCGTTATGAGTTTTTCGAACAGATGGTGAGTCATGCGTCAAGAAGGTGTCACAGTAATCACAGTAATATTTTGGCATATCTCTGGAACGGAAGAACAATTCTTCAATGCAGCAGCAAGTTGCAATTTGGTTGATTGCACTTCCTCAAGCGTTTCTGAGCTGCAATTATGGATCTCGTTCAATGACAACGACTCATTCTATCCAGAGTTTAAAATAAATATTTGCTAACTTTTATTTTTCTTCTTGAAAAATTCTTTTCAGTATTTTTGCAAAATAATCCGCTACGTGGAAAAAAATCTGATACAAGATTTCTTAAAATACTTTAAATTTGAAAAATGTTTTAGGCGATACCTTCCACGACAATATTATGTAATAAACTCAAAAGGCTGTGGAGAGCAAGACAAGTTTAACAGAGAACTACGAGATGAAAACACATCAAATATAAATGAAAACAGAAAAAGCCAAATGCTCAAAATGGATGATAAGTTAAAACTAAATTACATGAAGACCAATTGAAATTTTGGGAGAAACCAACCACGATATGCAAATGGGACTGTCTCATGAGAAAGCTGAGTTGTGTATTTGCTAGCATTAGATACATTGGGTACCATTTCGATATGATGCTGTGATATTCTTCCATAGAGGGAAGCTGAGAATTAAGTGAAACTCAAACTCAAACCATTTTGAAGACTAAACAAAGTGAAAAGCATACATTAAAAAGCCCGATGCGCTCACACCGGCCCTTAGGGGCTGGAGTCGGCAAAGGTTTGAATGCTTCCGTCTTTCCTGCCTACAATAATCGCCGCATCAGGAAAAAGTTAATAGAGAAAGTTTATACTTTATCAGTCATCTCATTACAACTACTTGTCTTGATTAAGACGGCTAATCAACTAGGTAAATGGAATGAGGATGTCAAAAATCAGTCATAATAAGAAATGAAAGAAGTCAGAATAATAGGCTCGAAAATCACCAATTTCATGATGATCACCAGTTCAAAAGAGAATTATTTCCGCAGGATCAGACGGTGACAAACTACTTTTATACCGTTGTTATTCCACTCTGTCAATTTTTGATGAATTTATACGTAAAAATTGAGGAACAAAAATATCTTTTTTTGCAAATAATAATTTATAACTATTTAAAATCATTTATACCAATTTGTTACAATATATGTCACAAATGTAAGGCGATCACAAGCAATCTGAGAATATCCAATGACAATATTTATGCAATATATGAAAGATAGAATTTGTGAGATATCTTCGCGACAAATTGTGGAATCTTAATCTTTGATCTTCGTGCAGGAACAGTACAGTAAAACAGTATAGTAGTCGACATGGTATTTTTGGATTACTCAAAAATATTGCGAAAAAAGAAAAGAGTGAAAGAAATGATAAATGCAGCAAATAATTTGCCAAAAAGCAGTTCTCATAATTTGCAATTTTGTTATCTCACTGCTGGATTTCAAATTTCATTAACGAAACAATTGACCTAATAGTTAGTTACGCCAATGACCTTCATTTAGTTTTCTTAGTTATTCGTATCCTTCAAGCCGTTCTAAAAGCCATAAACTTGGCTTTGATTTGGTCATCTGATTTTGGCTCACATTTCTTCTTTTTCCTAACCTTTACTTTCTTTAGCGTTAAGTTGAAAAAATACCTTTCATCATGCAGCTCCAATCATTTATTTGGAAGAATATCTGCCTGACGTTGATAACTTACCTGCTAATATATGACTTTCTGATAATACTTTCAAAAATGGACAGATAAATTATTAATTGCTGGAAAAAAGTTGAAAATGCTATTAACAAAGTGAATTCCATCAGGACTTTTACTTTAGATTATATTTCAAATTCATTTTGTAAAAATGTATGTTGATTTGCATGCACTTGGGAACAATAATAGGAAAGTATGGATGATAGGATGGCTTATCAAAGTATCTAAAGTAACTTCTCAATACCGTAGCACTACCAAACTGCGGAGAAACCAATGCGATTGTTTGCGAAATCGTAGATGTGACAATAAGAACTTATGAAGACATCACCAAGAATCCAAGATGGACTAAATCCGACACCAAAATTCTCGAGTGCCGCAAACATGCATATCGGCTTATGATTCTCGTTGTAATACTGCAACAGAAACCGAATGATTTTATTGTACGGTTTAGGAAGATGGAGAATGATTGATATAATGTTGTACTATTTTCTCCAGAAATGTATACATAAGACAGAAATATTACTTTTATATAGGTGAGATTTTCTAATTAAATTCTTGCTACATCCCCAAAATATCTTGAAAATCTTGTCTCAATAAATGTTTCATTGTATAGTTTGATAAAGATAGCAATACCCTTTTAATGTATTGGTTGGGTAGTATTGGATAGGATTTGTCGTCCATGATAATTTCAATAGCAGGACCATTTTCTTTCATGGCACAATCAATCACGTAAACTTCATATTCGAATGAATATGTAGCGTTGATGCTTTCAACAATTGACTTCATGAGGAATGACGGTATTTGCAGGTAAGATGACCCGGTATCGGAGATAGCTTGTTGCCAACTGGTGCTCTCATACGAATTAACTCTCACACTGTGCACAATATAAACATTTAGTTAGAAAATGACGTGAAAACATTTCGAGTAAATGAGATGGATGAGAGACGTTAAAATATATCTGAAAGTTAAAAACTTTAATTTCCGCTATTACTTGAAATCAATATAATTGCTGTACAGCTCGAAATCAAGCTTGAAATCAATACATTGTAATTAGATGTAATTAAAAGATGTAATTAAAATACACCTTAATGTATTTTCGGTGACAGGAAAAGTGGATTTTAAAATAAGGATTAGAAGGAATAAGAAAGAAAAAAAGTTCAGAATGTAGAGTTGTAGAAAAACTGTAGAATTTGTTTACCCTTGTACAGTAAATTGCCAGAACGTCTGGGAAGTCAACTCTACCCATCCGATCACTTCATAGCAATAATCATCGTCAGCATAACCGAACGTGATTGCGCCTCCTAAAACTTCTTCCATCGGTGGTCCCACATATCTATAAGTCATGCTTTTAGAAATGTTCCGATAAATGAATTAATTATTCTCAGACATATCTTTCCGAGGGATTCAAAACCGATTGATAAGTTTTCTTATTTCTATCCTTCAAATATAAAAGTTTTCGATAATTCATATTAAAAGATAAGGTTCAAAGTTGATAAATTTTACATTCATTTTTTAAGAACGAATGTCTCACAGCTTTACAACTCTTGTGATTAGTATGATAATAATATTGTTAAATGACGATCAATTGCAGTGAAATCACAAGACTTACGTATACATGTAAATTGACATTATTGGGAAATCGAGGTCATCAAGTATACTTTGCATCGGTTGAGTAACCTTGAAGGATGAAAGAGCTGGCCAAGCAAGACCCATTACACCATCTATCGGGAGATTACCGAACATGCGATCAATATCATGCACTAGGCCGAATATTTGATTTGTAATTGTGAAGTCAGCAAACTGCAAATATTTTATTTTTTCAAGAGTATAATTGATTGATCAAAGAAAATTAGAAAAATTTGGAAGAAAATTGAAAAAAGAACTGAGCTAATTGTACTTCTGATTATTATGCAAAGTCGTATAATATTACTACCATATAAACAAAGGTAACAGGCTAACAGACTTAGTAGACCTGAAGTTTGATTGAGGAAGTTATTTCGATACCTTGCTAATGTTGCAGAAGCATTCACTTTTCACTTAATCCACTTGAAAGGTTAAAATACTAATGAATTATAAACTTACTGAAAGCTGATCAATCCCAAGTATACCTGCGCAGCGGCCTGACGCATAATTTATTGAAAAGTTTCGGCCATAAGCTTTATATGTTGAAGATTTCCTGTAAGGATCATGAAATGAATATCGTAATAAAAGCTTATCGTTGTTGTAAACGAACAATATTACCACTATTGCATCTTGGCAAAGTCTTGTCTAGCTTGATGACTTAGCAACAAGTGAATTCAATCGATGACTCACCAATATTTTCAAACTTCAACTGATAACCTATCATTTATAGGAGCTGCTTCTAATGGAAATAATAATGAAGACCTTGAATCAAATCGGTTTCTTGCACGTTTTTTTCGTGTTTGTGTACTGTCTCCTCCTGTGCATGAATCACTTTTACATTCCATCGAAAGGACCCATAAATCTGAACTTCCTGTATCGGGAACAACTTCGAATTGTTGTGCTGAAAACAGAAAAGTTCATTTGATTTCAAGTCAAGTATTATTATGACCATGATTATTCAATTCCTTTGCAATGACCCTTCCTGGCTTTCTGTTCAGGTTGCACAATTACGGCTATCTTTCTGATGAATCATTTCAAGATTATTGAATTTCAAAATTTTCGAAGGCAGTCTGCGATGCAGTGATCTTCAGAAGCATGCAATACTCAGGAATAATTTCTTGAATGGTTTATGAATTCATTGGTTTCTTTATAGAGTAAAAGGAGTCAAAATGGATATACGCGGCGATCCGAGAGTGATGTTCATTACATAGACATCGTCCATATAGTCAAGAAGTCTAGCCATTCCAGATTCTCGAAGCAATGATTTAACTAGCTGATTGTATTCCTTCAGTTTCCCAGCTCTATAAATATCTATCGTTGAATTCCATGAAATTTTCAGGAATTCTTATAGTTATTCCGGGATTGTATTTTTGTTTCCTTTCCCATTTCAGTTATCGAATTTGAATATTCGAAATGAAGGATCAGTTCGAGGAGAAAAAGAAATACCGTAAAAGTTGTTGACGCATGGAGAGAGTTTTCTTTATCGTAGCGCGATGTACAGCTGCATGAACTATCAACGATATATGATATAAAACTACCAAAACCAGTGTAATTTTCATTATATCTAATGCAATAGTAACGTTAAACGACATGAATAAAATGAGACGTGAAAAAACACGTGAGTTAGACGCGAATGACATGGAAGCATGAAAGTATGTCACAACACGAAAAGTTTCCAAACCATTAGTATTACCTCTACCATCGCATTTCCACTTCAATCGTTTATGTGAAATGAAAGATTACTACAAAATTTAGATGATAATGTGATAGTGGTTTGGTGTAGAATTATCAAATTCTAGAATTTTTGGAACTGATTTGGAACTTTTCGTTTCCAAATTTTAGAATTAATTAATTCATATCATTACGCTACAACTAACACAGTTACAAAAGAATAGTCAATGTCGAAAATGATAAAACGTTGAATTTGAATAGATGTAGTGATTGTATGAATGCAATGAATGCTTGAAATGGTCAGATTCATTCCTTTAATCAGTTCTTATCTGCTTGATAAGGCGATTAGATGCACTTTTTAGACATTCAAATTTGTAATATTAAGGCCTAGTTTGTCTTCACGGTCCATCCATTCACAAGAAAAAAAAAGGCAAATGATTGTCTGTTCACAATAAGATGATTGAGTTACTCATAGTTTGTCCACATTCTGCTTAGGTACCATTTCTTGAAAACAGATGTCAGAACTATGATGATAATTTTTTAAATATATTCTATGAACGCATTATTCCACATATTCTCCCATCATGGATGAAGAGGAAATTTCTAAACTTCAGCATATATTGATTAATTATAAAGTTCATAATTAACTACAAGCGAACAGCAAACAAACAAAAGATAAGTTGTAAGCTTATCATTAGTTATTTATGTTTGCTTATCGAAAAAAAAACTTGTCAGCGTTGTGATAAAGTCACATAATGGAAGACAAAATATATTGAAAATTTCCCACTGGTAATTTATCGTTTTTCTTAACAGAAGAATTCGATTTTATCATTCATTTAGTGACAACCATAATTGGTAGCATTTAAAAGTAGCTATGCTATCTATGCTATTAATCGCCTTTTTTGTTTTGTTCTGTCTCAAATGGCGAAAGTAATGTGACACTAAGGTCAGTTATCAGATGATAGCATTAACTGTATCTGTATCAAAATGCTAAATTAGATTTAAGATTGGGTGTAAATATCATCAGCACTTTTGGAGGGAGAAAATGAAGTTCGCGTTATTTACGACTGTCTTTTTCTCAAGCAGTAATTGCCTATTTCTGTAAGTGTTTTATTCAAAGAAAGTCTAAGCAAATCTATTACCTTTGTGATTTATCAATTAGATACTAAACATTCATTGGTAGCATTTAATTGGTGGGGGTGACATTTACAGTTGAACTACAATAATGGTTGGTCGTTTCATTATTCGGTAAATGTCAGAAAAACACCGCGACAACCTTTATTTTAACTTCCAGAAATACCAATTCTCGGTTGGACATACTCCACACACATTTTTCCTGTTTCTATTTCGGAATTGTTGCTTACTCAAATGACTGATGGGAGTTTATTCTTTCCGGAAAATTACTTTCATCTGCTTTTCTACTAAAACCTGCCAATATTCTGCAAAATTTGTCAATTAATCAGGCTCAGTACCTAGCGAATGCTACCGGATAACATTTCATGGACAGATTCGAGCTTTCAGTACCAGAAATTGTTGTAAACGTCGCAACGTCATTAACTAAAACTGGAAATATTCCCTTAGGAATATTCTTTCTCTTCTTTTTTCGCAAATAATAATACAGCCAAGATAGAAAGAATGAGGTAAGAAGAAAAATGAAGCATAGCAAATATTTCTTTTTTCAGCAGTAACAATAGGTTATTCTTTTTTAATTTTTGTGCTCCTGTTTTGGTTCAGTTACAAATTTTTATTTCTGTTATTTGTTTGTGTGGTTTGTTGTTTACTAGTGGTTGTTGTGGCAAGGAGTATTTTATATCTCATTTTTATTATGATTCTTTTGGATTGTTTTTGGTTATTTTTTATTTTTTTGGTGTGTTTTTAACTTTTTGTTATTGCTATCGTATGATATATTTATTTCGTGTTGGTGTTTCTGCTTTTGATCATGTTGGTTTTTCTAGTAAGTTGTTTTATTTTTCTTGTTTTTTATTGGTTTTTTTTCTGTAGTTTTTACTTTTTGATGGTTAGTTAGTTTATTACCTATGTCTTTAGCTTTTAATCGTATTGAGTTTTTGGTGGTTTACTTTTATTTTTTGTTTTTTATTTTTTGTTTTTTGAATTATTTTTTTCGTTATTTTCTAGTTGAGTTTAAGAGTAAGTTTTTTATGGATCATTATGCTCGTTTTGTTTATAAGTTGGTT